TTTTTTTTTCCTTAGTAGTGCGATGGAGCTGTGTGGCTCAGGTATATGATATTGGAATATCAGATCATAAAGGTCAGCTGGTTAAACTTCTTGGTTGTGAAACCACAGGTTTTACTCAAACACAGTAGGTTGTCGGAGATATCTTGGGATTTCATTACTGTTGATAGTACCAGTGGTGAACAAAAGTTTAGCCACTTCATGGATATTCTTCAAGAAGCCTATACATACTCTTTTCCAAAGCAAACTTATGTGGTAAGATCCGACCAGGGCAATAATATTTCCTGGTTTAATACCGAACTAAGGGCAATGAGGGAACATTTGAGGTTTTTGAGAGAGCTAAAAGGGCAGTATAGTTTTGTGAGTGACCAGTATTATAAAAACTACAAAAATCTATATAGAAATAAAATAAGAAAAGCTAAGATAAATGCTAATGACAAGCTTGTAAAGAGCTCAAGTAATCCTGCTAAAACTGTGTGGGATATCATTAACAAAAAAAAGGTAAGAGTAATAAGTGCCCTGGGAGCAGTGACCTGTCACCTGATGACTTTAATATTTTTTTTTGTAACATAGCAGGTAATATAGTAAATCACATCCCTGATGTACATTTAGATCCTGTAAATAATATTGACTTCCTGGTACCGCCACCTCTGTTTTCTTTTTCTGAAGTCACATTTGACGAGGTTCGCGATGTAATAGATAATCTCAAAAATAAAAACAGTAAAGATATTTTTGGTTTCAATTTAAAAATTGTAAAATGTATAAAGAACATAATTTTGATCCCTTTAACACGACTGATTAATATTTGTCTTAGAGAAAATATTATTCCAACTGTTCTAAAGAGAGCTAGTGTCACACCTATTTTTAAGAACGGCAATGTTGATTCACCAGAGAACTACAGACCTATATCCCTTCTTCCAGTTATTTCTAAGATCTTTGAAAAATGTATGGCTTTGAGACTCGTAACCTTTTTTGAGGCAAATGAATTGTTTTCACAATATCAGTTTGATTTTCGCCAGGGTAAGAGCACTGTTATGGGTGTACTTAACCTGATTTCTTCTATAATTGATGCTTTCCATGGAGGAGGGTATAACACGGTTCTTTTCTGTGATCTTAGTAGGGCATTGTGTGAGCCATGACATCCTTTTAAAAAAGCTCCATGCCTACTACAACTTTAGTTATGATTCCGTTAAACTAATTGAGTCTTACCTTAGTAATAGAACTCAGGTGGTGAGATGTGATGGAGTGACATCAGCGGAGCGAAGTGTTAATATTGGCGTCCCACAGCTCCATCTTGGGCCCAATTCTTTATTTAATTTACATACCTCTCAATAACAATATGGCAAACTTTACTCTCTTCGCGGATGGTACGACGGTCTCTCACACCGCTAACAGTTTTGAGCGCTCAATGGCACAGTCTCTGGCTGCGCAGGATGAGGCTGAGCTGTGGTTTTGCTCCAATAAGCTGTTGCTAAATAAAGATAAGACAAAGATAATGGTATTCTCCATGCGAGGCCTGCCTGGAGACAGTGATTTGGTTGGTGAAGCCAAGTTTCTGGGGGTTACTTTGGATCGAAGATTGCAATGGGTCCTTCACATTGACAGTGTTGCTGGAAAGGCCACCAAAGGTATATGTGTTACGGAGTCTGTCTTCTTGTGTTTCTGTAGCCATATTTAAAATGGCTTACTTTGCCGTTTGCCATTCACATATATCCTACGCCATTCCGGCTTGGGGGCATTCTTCAGGGGTCCATAGACTATTCGCCTTGCAAAGAAGAGCAGTTAGGGTTGTGAGCCGTTTGGGCTACAGGGACGATTGCAGAGATACCTTTGTCAAGTTGGGAATCCTTACTGAGCCTTGTTTTATATTTTTGAAAATCTACTATTCGTTAAAAGAAACTCTAACTATGTAACTCATGGGGACGTCCATGAGCACAATACTACGCATAAGAACAATCTAGTACCTCCTTATTGGCGACTGAGAAGGTGTCAAGATGGACCTGGTTATTGGGCGGTCAAATTTTTTGATGTACTTCCAGAGGGCTTAAAATCGCTTCCGTTTAAAAGAGTTGAAAGTTTAAATCAAAATTCATTCTTATTATAACTCATTTTACACGTTTGAAGAGTTTATAAGACATACATTTTAGCTATAAATCTTAATATGTTATGTTAGCGTTATATCTTTATGAGTGCTGGTGTACTTGTTTGTAATTTTTTATGATCATTAGCACTTCCTTTGTTTTAATATTCTAATGCAATTCTCATTGATCTACTGACGTATTTATTTTTTTATTTATTTTTTTATTCAAATTCAAATTCAAATTCAGAAACCAATATAACTTACAAATTAAAAAACAACCTAGTGAAAATTTAAATAAAAAAAAGCTTCAAAAATACATGACCTTGTATACTCTTGCTACCACTGAATAACCAAGATTTGCAACAGAAATCTGAGCAAAGATACTAGATCTAGAACGAGCAAGTAACGGTATATGAATTGTGAAATTCTGTATACTTTCGTAAAGGGTAAATGTCTGAATCTGTCGTCACAAATCCTAAATTACGTGTCTGCATAAACAAATCTAAAATTCAATAACAATAGTACAGAAGCATACTAAAAACACTCAGAAGTATAAATATAGAGTACATAAAATATGAATATCTGAAATAGGATAATATAAGGGATATTTCGAGTAAGGTCAAACTATGTTTGTTTAAACAATAAAAATTTTGCGTAAGGTTAAGCAGAGAAACAAGAGTAACTACATTTACTACAAAGAATTTACTACAAAGAATAGACACCTAAGCTATAAGCTTGCGTGTGTCATACAATATACAATTCAATGCATGGCTAATGGTCATAAGGTATATTATGAGCAAAATGTATATAAAAAAAGAAATAAAAAAACATTAGATAGAAACGAAATTACTGAGTTGAGTCAAGCTACCGTCGATGCAAGCATGTCAAAGTTATTTAAGATGAACTTCTTAATTCTTTTTTTGAAACTATACTTCGAGAGGGTTTTATATTCTAGGGGTAATTTATTATACAACCTAATACCATCAAACTTTATTCATTTTTGGCAAACAGATTTATTCACTCTGGTATAGGTGTAACTTATATTTATTTTAGTTCTTGTTTCATAAGCGTGGCTGGTTGGAACATTGTTTCGGGAGTGAACAAATTTAGAGCAGCAAAAATATATAAACCTCTAACATTCAAAAGATCATTTTCAATGTAAACAAAATCTGCAACTTGACCTACATGGGATACGAAAAATAGTCCTGACAATATAATTTTGCGTGGTTTGTAGTATTTTTTAAAGTACTAGTGTATGCGGCTCCCCAAATACTTATCCCGTAAGTTAGTAGAGACCTCCACAAACGAGTTACATATTGAGAGAAGACTCTTCTGCTTAAAATATTCCTAAGAATGAAAAACTTATGAATAATTCTCCTTAATTTCGATGCCAAAAGCTCGGCATGACTCTGCCATTTTAAATTACTGTCAATAGTGATTCCTAAGTATCTAATAACTTCAACTCTTTCGACAGTGTCAGCACTATCATTTATAATTAATGTGCGGTGGTGTAATGGCATGCCTGCTTTGGTTGGAGAAACGTTACATACTTAGTTTTAGAGATATTAAGTTTAAGTAAATTGTTATCCAACCAGCATTTGACTTATTTAATGACAACTCGGCATTCCGTATTGCGTCATCCCATGAATGACCAGTGCAAACTAAAACAGTATCGGCTGCATATGATATCATTTTAACAGTTGAAATTACATCGAAGTAGTTCATTTATGAATATGAGGAACAGTGTTGGTCCCAAAACCGTCCCCTGAGGCACACCTATTTTGATCTTTTGAATGTTGCTTAAATCTGACCCTACCTTAACTTGTTGTAATCGATCAGCCAAATAATTCTCAAATAAGTTCAGAACTCCGCTACGCACTCCAACACTTTCTAGTTTCTTAATAAAATTGTATGAGATACTGAATCGAAAGCCTTTTGAAGATCTAGGAAAACTGCAACAGTCTTATTTCCATCTTGAAAATTTTCAAGCACTTGTCCTGTAAGTTCTTGTAGAGATTGCTCTGTATTGCAATTTTTGTGGAACCCAAATTGATAGTTCGATATTATGTCATATTTCTCAAGAAGAGAACAAAGTCTGTTATTCAAACACTTCTCAAAAATCTTCCCAAATACATTGATAACTGAAATAGGTCTATAATTGAATATATTGTCTTTACTTCCAGATTTAAATATTGGTGTCACTATGCTTTCTTTAAATTGGCGAGGAATTACTGAGGATTTGAAACAGAAGTTGATAATGTGAGTTATAGGGTGACTGATATACTTCATGATCATCTTGATAGTTTTAGTGTGTAAGCCATCTTTTCCGGGTGCGCTATTATTTTTCAGATTACAAACTATTTGTTGTAACTCTATTTATCCACTGGAGTTAGAAACATAGAGTGAGCAATGTTGACGACTTGAGGATCTGATGTATCAAGAATTGAGGGTTGATCAATCTGACTTGTTATTTGCTCACCTATATCAACAAAATATTTATTAAAAACACAGGCTAAATCAGTGGGAGCATCCAGCTGCTGATTATTGTGATTAATTGATTTTACGTCATTTTTTTTTTATTTTGCCAGCATTAGTTACCTCATTAATAACATAACAGCTCTTCCTATAGTTATTACCAGCTAAAATGAGTTTTTGTGTATAATATTGATTTTTAGAGATCTTAATAAGATTAGTTACTCTCTTTCTGTAGGAGATATAGGACTGTCTCAATATCAAATTATCTTTATCTTTCGTCAAACTCTGTTTCAACTCATCCCTCTTCTTCATCCACGGCTTGCGTTTTCTAGTCTTACTATTTATTTTTAAATAATACGTTGAATGATCTATGCCTTTATATATTCATTATAGAAGTTATCAGTTGCTTTTTGGACATCACTCTCTGAAAAAACACTGTTCCAAGTCACCACTTGCAAATAATCTGTCAACTTTTTTTCATCAATTTTCTTAAATTCATAGCTGTTTTTATTAATGATACAATTACTTCCTTTCAAATACCCAAAATTGAACAAAACAGGATAATGTAGCAGCAGTATGTAAACATATTTTATGTATTGTGACATGAATAAAGAATTTTAATTTCAATTCAATTATTATTATTGCGCGCTTCCGAGCGAAATTTCGGCCTAGTTGACAGTTTCGGATTCAGAGGGGTTAAGTTAGTCAAAAACGGTCTTACCTCAATCGTTACAGGAAGTACCGACCTAATTTTCAGCCAAATTTGCGCCAGGTCTCTGCACATCTTGAGCAACACATTTAATCGCGACCAGTTTAAAAACTTACATCCCGCTAGTCTCCTCATTCATTTCCGAGTTTTATATGTACATCTCTTCCGTTAACCGGAAACCTCCGTTAATGGATTTAACTTCTCGTGCTCTTAATGCAAACTTCTTAATTTTGATGGATGCAAAAACTTGCTGAATTATTATTGAAATTCGCCCAAGTCTCAAGTGGCACAAAGACGTCTCTCAGATATATAAATTCAGGATTTTATCATCTCACAAAGATGGGATTTCTCCATTTCATAGAGATAAGCCTTTCGCGTTTTAGTTAATAAAGCTGGCGCTGCGAGAGGTTGAGTATGCAATACTGGGTTGGAAGTAGACTAAAGATTAATAAAGAATGTAGTTCTTGGTAGTCCATTTTATTTCCCGGGTCAATTGAACAGGAAGAACACTTATCCCTATTTTGAAAATTTTTGGCATATATACTAAGTGACATATAAATCCGAACACCCAGTTTAAATGGTTTTATTTTAATAAAAGTTGGTGAATGTATTTATCTTACTGTAAATAACAAGTGAAAAAATTTTCAGCCCTATCAGTTGGACATACCGGTTTTTATACTGCTTTTTTTAATTCACTAACGCTCTAAAAATGAATATTTCAGCCGCAGTAAAGAATCAACGTTGGTGGATTTTGGTTCTTGACATCCTTTCGGATCGGTTACGATGCCTAGAGTACGGAGACCTGTACGATTTCGTCAACTTGTGAGTTTGATAGGGGCCGTATAGTGGGACTTCGGGAAGCTGGACTTTCTTTTCGGGCAATTGCAGTTAGAGTGCAAAGAAGTGTAGACACTGCGGTTAGGTGTTGTCAGGCATAGCTTCGAGAAGGCCGTACGCAAAGAGCAAGGGGCACTGGACGCTGCCGTAGAATAACAGACCGTGAAGATCGCGGCCTAAGATTATTGGCCTTAAGGGACCGTTTCTCCACTACCAGGTCCATTGCAAATGAATGGTTTGCAGAACACGGAAGACCTATTGGCATGCGAAGTGTTTACCGACGAATGAGAAGTTTTGGCTTGTTTTCATACCGGCCACACTGGGTCCTCCCTTTAACTCGAGAACACCGACGTAATCGCCTTGAGTGGTGCAGACAACGGTCATTCTGGGATCAGGAATGGAACAGTATTGTCTTTAGTGATGAGTCTCGATTTTGTTTAGGCATGCACGATGGTCGTGCCAGGGTTAGAAGGCGACGTGGTGAAAGGAATCCACAGTTTTTTGTTGAAAGACATGTTGATCACACTGTTGGAGTTTTGGTTTGAGGTGCTATAGCTTATGGTTCCAGGTCACCTTTAATCTTCATCAGAGGTACAATGAACGCGCAGCGTTATATTCACGAAGTTCTAGAACGCCATCTTTTACCCTAGCTTGACACCCTGGCAGATCCAACTTTCCAACAAGATAATGCCCGACCACATGTTGCAAGAGCCACAATAGACTTCTTTTAACATAAAGATGTCACATTGTTACCATGGCCACCAAGATCTCACGACTTATCCCCAATTGAGCACGTGTGGGATATGCTGGGTAGGAGATTGCTCAATTTGCAACGTCCTCCTCAGACTCTAGAAGCACTTCGAGAGGAGTTGGTGGTTGCCTGGAATGAGATACCACAGGAGGACATTGACCACCTGATTACTTATTATGCTTCATTAAGTACTTATACAAAATTTGGGGACAAGGGCCTGTGAGTAGCCTCCGCGAGGCAAAAGCTGCCCAGGCAGGTGTATAGCGTAATACAGACTTATAGTCCATCAGCTTCTGCACCTGCAAGACCGTCCGTGCGTGGTGAAGAACCACATGCTGCTAGAGCTGTCCCTGCTCTTAACAGAACACGGCGGATCTAGCGGAGTAAACCTCAAAAAAAAAAATCCGCAATCCCAAGGTGTTTGCCGTGCTGAGGGGATGAATGGCACTGCGTTAGTGTGTTCCAAACGGCTGCCTCCGGATACCGGGCGACCTCCGGTTGAAACTAGCCTTGCTATGATAAGCCTGCTCTTTCATAGTCGACCTCCATATCAGAGCCTACTCGTGGGAATAAGATGAAGCCTACTCAAAACCAAAACATCCAGGAGGCGCCCGCCCTCCAAAAAACGGGTAGTGCTGGGGGAGCACTTTCCAGTCCTTCAGCAGGCGTGAGGACGGTGGGCGATTGCCCCCGGTTTCTGCTTGTTAAAAGAGAAAGCGATAATTTTGATAAAGTGAGCCCTTTTGTTATATCAAAGACATTATATGGAATTGTTGGTGAAGTAAAGTTAGTGAGAAAGGTTCGAGAAGGTCTCCTTGTTGAAACTAAATCTACACAGCAGACTATGCGACTATTCCAGGTAAAAAAGTTTGGAGAATTTGATGTGAGTATTGAGGCACACCAGTCCCTCAATACCCGAAAAGGCGTGATTTTTTGCAGAGACTTGCTCAACTGCTCGATTGAGGAGATATTGGATGAACTGAAAGGTGATGGTGTCATACATGTAAGAAGGCTAAAGAGTAAAAGAAATGGAGAACTGGTTGAAACTCCAAATCACGTGCTGACATTTAGGAAAACTGTCTTACCAAAGGAAATCAGCGTTGCGTTCCATAAATTAAATGTAAGGCCTTATATTCCACCACCTACCAGGTGTTTCAACTGTCAAGCTTTAGGTCACACAGCTGGAAACTGTCAGAAGGAAAAAATATGTCCATGTGGTAATCCTCCACATGAAGGTCCTTGCCCGGAGCCCAAAAAATGCGTAAATTGCGAAGGTCCACATTCAGCAGCTTATATGAATTGCCCAAAACTAAAAGCTGAAGCAGCAATACAGAAAGTAAAGGTAACGGAAAACATAACATATGCAGAAGCAAAAAGAAAAGTAAATATAACCACTCCAAAACCTACTACGTCCTATTCTGCTGCCGTCCAAAAGTCATCAGAAATGAACATTCAGCAGATCATATCGAGAATAATTCCTCATATCGAAACTGCAGTTAGAAACGCAATCTCATGTTCTACATCTAAGTGCGACCATTTTAAAGCCCCATCATCAGGGCTAATCTTCCGTAGAGATAGATCTGATTCTGTCTCTACAAATTTATCGGCAGCGTCCGAAAAAAGAAAAAAACCAGGGGACTCCACTACAGATGATGATTCATCTGCTATGGACCCCAACTCAAATCCAACAAAAAAACGGGGCAGGCCTAAAAGGACTGCCCCGTGAGTGATGCTATATCACTTATATCAACTCTATTTTTAAAAAAAAAAACTATTTATTTTATTTATTATGTACCGTCCATCCCTACATACTATTTATTTTATTTATTTGTTGTGAAAGTATTTTATTTACATACATTTAAACTCTTAAAATTGCAATGGAATCAGTCATACAGTGGAACTGCAATGGAATTGTCCAACGGTACTGTGAGCTTAGGCTGCTTTTACAAAATCATGATCCAATGTGCTTATGTATTCAAGAGAGCCATCTCAGACCAAATCAAACTTACTCTCTTAGAAAATATAACATCTTGAGAAAAGATGTTGCAGCTGTCGAGCGAGCACATGGAGGAGTTGCGATAATTTTACGTGAGGATGTCTGGTTTGAGCCTTTATGTGTAAACTCAGCACTACAAGTTGTTGCAGCTCGAATAACAGTTCCTGTAAAGGTAACTGTCTGTAATATATACCTACCTGATGGAAATTGGCGAATTGGTGACATCGAAAACGTTATATCTCAGCTCCCAGCACCATTCTTGCTCATTGGAGATTTCAATGCGCATAATCCCCTGTGGGGATCAGGACGTTTAGATCACCGAGGAGAATTGAGAAAACTTACTAGACAGAGAAGATCTGATGTTGCTAAATACAGGAATGTCCACCCATCTGGCTGCTCGTTCCGGATCTTTCTCTGCGATTGATCTAGCGATCAGTTCAACATCCATAGCCGATCGCCTCCAATGGAGAGCTCTAGATGACATGTATCATAGTGATCATTTTCCTTGTATCACGTCCTTTGACATATCTAGAAGTAGTCCCCAAGTACCTCAATACTGGTTGATGTCAAAGGCAAACTGGCAGCAATTCGAAGACTACTTATCAATTGTGAGTCCTGTACAAGATAATAACATTGGTATTCATAGTTTTACTCAGCTGATACATCAGGCTGCGGTGAACAGCATTCCGCTTGGTGGTGGATCTCCAAGAGGCCGTCGGTTACCATGGTGGAACTCTGACATATCCGATGCCGTGAGATCAAAAAAGCGTGCACTCAATATTTTTAAGAGGAACTGCACGGTATCAAACATGATATCTTTTAAGAAAGCTAGAGCTAAAGCGCGGCGTCTTATTCTAGAAAGACAGAGAAAATCATGGAGAGAATATGTCTCCACTATTACTACTGAAACGACAGCAAGTGAAGTATGGAATAAAGTCAGAGCCGTGTATGGTCGACAATCAGTTAGGCAAATCAAACATCTGCGGACCTGTAACAGCAACATCATTAACAGCACAAATGAGGTCTGTAATTTACTAGCAGATAAATTTGCTACCGTCAGCAGCTCGGAAAACTATAGTCGCGAGTTCAGGTCCACCAAAAATGCAAGGGAATTACCATTAGACTTTTCAACAGACGTATCTTTAGCGTATAATGAGCCATTCCAACTGTTTGAGCTAGAAGAAGCCTTAAAAAAGACAAATCGATCAGCTCCTGGTCCGGATATGGTAAATTATGAGATGATCCGTCATCTCCCTCTCCATCTCAAGCTTACTCTCCTCAACATATACAACAGGATATGGCTTGCAGGAATATACCCAAAAGACTGGAAACTTGCAATCGTCATTCCCTTTCTTAAACACGGAAAGGATCCACTCTTGCCTGAAAGTTATAGGCTCATAAGTCTTACTTGCTGTCTCGGAAAAATATTAGAGAGAATGGTAAATGAGCGCCTGTCGTGGTTTCTTGAAAAAAATGGCTTACTTGTTGATTACCAGGCAGGATTTAGAAAAAATATGTCTACAGTGGATCAACTTGTCTATGTAGAGAATGTCATCCAAAATGGGTTTAAAAACCGTCACCACACAGTAGCAGTGTGTTTTGACATAGAAAAAGCTTTTGATATGGTCTGGAGATATGATGTTCTATACCAACTGCACAGCTGGGGCTTTAGAGGAAATCTCCCAAAATTTTTGAAATCCTTCCTTACAGACAGGCGTTTTCAAGTACGTGTAGGAAACACTCTTTCAACAGTCCACACCTTGGAAAATGGAATACCACAGGGATCGACACTTAGCTGTACGCTTTTTGCGATTGCTATTAATAAACTTGCCGAGTCCATAAATCCGGTGGTGGACAGATGTCTATACGTTGATGATTTGTGTATACTATCATCAGGCCCTTCCATTGAAGAGATTTCCGGTAACTTGCAGACAGCAATAAACAAAATAAGCCAAAATGCCATAAACAGTGGTTTCACATTGTCAAATACCAAAACAAAGTGCGTACATTTCTGCAGACTCCAACGTCAGCATGATGGGCCACTACTTTATCTACAAGGCCAATTAATCCCCAACGAAACATCTATGAGATTTTTGGGATTGATATTTGACTCAAAGTTAACGTGGAAATGTCATATTGCAGAATTAATCTATAGGTGTAAGTCAACGTTGAATGTTATTAAGTGTCTGAGTTCTACCCGGTGGAGAGCTGATACAGAGGTTCTGATAAAAATATACAAGTCCTTGGTTCTATCAAAAATCGACTACGGATGCATTGTGTACTCATCCGCTCGACGTACTGCACTCAATAAGTTAAACACTATCCAAAACCTAGGACTGCGGTACTGCCTTGGAGCATTCCGTACAACGAGAGCAGCTAGCCTTTGCGCTGAAGCAGCCGTCGAGCCATTAACTCTAAGGAGAAAAAGACTCATACTCTCATACGAAGTCAGTACATCTGCTACGCCACATCATCGGAATTTCTCTCTGTTAAGTACGTATGATGAAACCTATAATAGAAGGCCTACTATCACAAGACCCCTCAGTGTGAGAATTTGTGAAATATCTCGAGAGCTAAATTTGACTAAAATGCCAGTATATCCACTCAAAAATGAAGCCCCACCTTGGCAGATCCCATCTGCACAAGTTAACACGGAGCTAACTAAATTTCACAAAAAGGAAACACCAACAGTACAACTGAGGTCTCATTTTCAAGGTATCCTGGAACAGTACACATGTGCCGAAACCATCTACACAGACGGTTCGAAAACTGCCTCAGGAGTTGGTTGCTCGATTATCATAAACGGGGTGGCCCATTTATGGACTCTCCCACCAATGACATCGACTTTCACAGCCGAACAGTATGCAATTTTACAGGCGCTTAAATACTGCCAGATAGAGTCAAAAAGCAACCTTACTCTTATAGTCAGCGATTCTTTGAGCACCCTACACGCTATGTCAAATCGCTATTCCCGTGATCCGTTAATCTTAGCATGCCTTCAGACATTAAAGGTGTTGATGGATGGCGACAAGAGGGTAGTCTTTATATGGGTACCAGGACACGTAGGTATACTAGGAAATGAACTGGCAGATCAATCTGCAAGGCAGGCTGCTGCCGCAACTGGAATTGACTGTAAAATAGTGAAAGCACCAGACTTGAAAATGAAAATTAGACAATGCATAACAGAAGCATGGCAAAGACAGTGGAACAATGAACTTACTCAGCTAAGAACAATAAAACCTGATGTAACAAAATGGACACCTAACGTCAAGATGAGTAGAGAAGAAGCCGTCCGGATACATAGACTGCGTTTGGGCCACACAGCATTGACACATTCCTACTTACTCTCTGGCCAAGGCCATCCAAATTGTCCGTCATGCGAGGCACGATTAACTGCAATGCATATTATGATAGAATGTCCAGCGTTAAGCAACCTTAGAAACAGTTTTGGTCTGTCAAGAGATTTCGCAGAAAATCTGAAAAATCCTGATCTAATAAAAAACACGATATCGTTTCTGAAATGCACGGGCTTTTACTGGAAACTCTAATTATACTCAACCAAAATTGAATCACATAACGACACGCAGCTAATGACCCAGTAGTCGATGCTGCATAATCGCAAGAACTACTACTTATACAAAATTTTATTAAAATAAAACCATTTAAACTGGGTGTTCGGATTTATATGTCACTTAGTATATTTAGGTAATTCATCGTCTTTCTAAATTTTAACGCGTCTTAGGGCCGTAAAAATAAAAATCGCTCAAATGTTTTTCAGAGGACCTTATCGTAGTTGATAAAAATTGGAGAAGAAAATATTGGGGGCGGGGGTCCGTAACTAGTTTTTGTCTCAGAGGGTTTAACTTGTGCTGACGGCGTTCCACATGAGGTGCAAAGTTAACCTACTTAACGCCATTTTTGTTCGATATGATACCACAACCGCAATACACATAACTGAACAACACCCTGTTATTATATACCGACGGGCTCCAGCACTGTGTACAAGTTTTGGAACACTGTGCATACACATGCATATGATTTCGTAGAAGTTGCTTTAACTTCATCATTCATAGAAAGTTGCGTTAGTGGCGGGACGCAGTGTGGAATTATCTCACCCTCAGCCGTCGGATTTAGCCAGAGCCTGGAGACCAGAGCATAGAACAGCAAAAGCGGCCGCACAGCCTGTGCGCTCCAGTATATAATTTATATTTATCTGGAGCGACAGGCAATTTGGAATCAACCGCTGGAACTGGCTTGGCTGCTTGCGACTTCATCCTGTTCCAACTTCTGCCTTCCTTGCTTAACGACCTCTTTCTACACCATGCATTTTGCCACGACGACTGTCTTTATGACGTAGTGGGTTCGCACCCTTAAGGCACACGCCCATTGAGGGGAAGGAAAGTGAAGAAGCTACACTGCCACGCAAAATCAAACGGATAAACAAAATTTTGTTCAAATTGAATTTTAAATAACTGTTTAACCGTTGCATCAATTTCGTTAATTTTTTCGTCAAGTTGTGGGTTATTTCATTGTTGACTGCCGATCTTATCATCTGTTCTTGTGAATAAGCTTATATACTTTGTTTTTTCGGAATCTGCAATTAATTTTGTATTAAGTTACTTCACTGACAGGAGTCAGATGGTTGTGATTGGGTCAAGTATCTCGGATGAGATACCATTTAAACTAGGGGTACCACAGGGTTCCATTCTGGGACCATTATTGTTCT